CTGAGTCTCTACTTCAGTCCAACTTCACCTTGGCTTCTAGCCTTCGGTTTAGTTCATCCTCGCCACACCGAAACCTTCCTTTCCTCCATGCATCCAGCTCCTTCTTCGTGATACTGCACTCTGCCCCAAGCTTCACCTCAGGGCCTCGTAGCTTTCTTCTTTCCAGCTTTTTTCTCCTGGGCTGCCAGGATTCCCCCTCTGGACTTCTAGCACTGTCTTCTTGGTGTTCGCTTTGGGAGCGTTGCCTTAAGGGGAGTTTCTCATCAAACACCCTTGTAGCTTGATAGTCTAGAAAGGAGGGCATTGTGTGAAACGTTGCATTATTAAATTTGCATAATCTGCTTGAGCTCGGGACTGCGAAGTGAACATGCCTGGAGGCAGCTTTAAGTGGGGGTTTCTTGATGTTTCCCTGGTATCCTCACTATATTTTGTGGGTGAAACAGTACACTTTCCTCTGCTACATTGATCTTACTTCCTGGCTCGACATAAAATGTCACACAGCCAGGAAAGACCTCTCTAAGTCCTCCAGATGTAGTTTGGACAATATCAAAGCTTGGTAACAGTAACCTGTCTCCTTCAGAACCTCAAGGAACTGGAGTCCATACAGGTTGAAGGGAAGGTCAAAGCATCTTAAATTTTCACACTTAGAAACATTGAATAATAGCTGCAAGCAATTTGCCCCGTAAGAGAAATCGGTGGCCTATAAATTGTGTGCAATTCACCTTCAGGCTGGCATGCCGGAAAAGGAAATCTTTTTCCCATCGTGAACACGGGAACATCCTGCCTGCCGGTTTCAGAACCTTATCTTCTTTCTTCCTCCCTATGCTCTTGAAGGCTTCGGGTGAAAATACGGTGTAGGATGGGCACACTGCCTAAAGGACAACTTGTTGACATAGTGTGGGCAGCAAGCAGTGTTTGGAGATAGGTGGCAGATTTGGTTGTCGTATTCTGCCTCCCCCCCCGCTCTACTCCCCCACACCGTTCTCCCTCTCAGGAATGTAGGGCCTTGATGCTTCAGGGACAGGTGATAGTGAAGACATGGAGGGGAAATCCTTGGTGGTGAACATAACGTTCTTTACAACTTCACTCTCATCGGGATCCAAAAGCGATTGCTTACCTAAATGTTTAGCTGCAAACCTCATTGTAGCGGCCTTAAAGAGTGAGGGTTGTGGGACCTGGTTGTACTGTTTCCTGGAAAGATGCTTTCCAAAAGGAAGCATGTATTTGTCGCAGAGTCAAGAGGTCAGTGAATGTGTGTCCGTAGTATGCGAGTGTGCCACATTCAAAAGGCAGGTTTCGCCTTCTCGCAAAATGAGCTCCGCAACGTACTGCAGGCATCCAAGAGGGATAAGCCACATTAAGAGACAGCACCAGTAGATTAAGGAGACTCCTGTGTTTACGGGTGGCCGGGCACTGAATTTACGCCCATTCGCGATTATGTCCACTGATTTTCCAGGGTGGGTACGTGACCGCCTGGCCCTCAGATCGTCTCGAGGTGGAAGCACAGGAAAAGCCATCCCGTCCCTAGGAATTTCCCGTCCGGTATGTTGAAATGTTTATGATTTTCCTCTCTGTGTTTACTGACTCCCTGATTTCTCATTCCCTGTTTCAGCCAGTCCTCCGCAGTAAATTTTTCAGGAGGCTTAATCCTGGGAAATGCCTTTGGACCTCCAGCACTGGGAAGAGAACCACGCTGACAGCAGCCTGTGCACACAGGCAGAGGAATTTAGGATCATCACATCCCTCACCATCAGGCTGAAAGCTATATTTAAATTTTTTGTCCACTTAGGTGAAGAGTCTCCACTGCACGACATGACCCACGTGATTGGGACCAATTCAAGGGACTCAGCGGAACCCGCGCCCCACTCCTCGATTGGCAACCAGGATGCGCCAGGTGTCCCTCTTAGGAGCAGGACCTTTCGATTACTCTGCCAGGACCTTCACCACAGGCAAGCACTACAACATCTTCCAAACACCCGCCTCAGATCAGCCTCTGTTCCTCCAGAGACAATCATGGCACAGCTATTCTGCATGCAGCAGGATTTGTGGCCTAGGCAAGAGCGCAACCCTCACCCAGAATCAGGCTAAGAATCAAACTCTTATGCCTTGAGAAGGCTCAAACCGTTCTAGGGGAATCTTTTTCTTTGTTTGAACTCTCTAGAAAGTAGTGTTGTCTTCTTTGTATGCCCAGTGTTCTTCACTATGTCTTTTTGTCACACCATCTATCTATGTATGTCTCACTTGGGGTAAAGGTTTCCTACTTTCACCTCTCCCCAGTCTTCCCATTGTGGCATCCCCGCAATCTAGGGACGGACAGGAAGGATGATACGTATGCATGACTTGACGCATTTACCACGTGCTTGACTAAAGGGTATCTGGGATGCATGTATCATTTCCAAAGTAAGCTTGACCTGCTAACCTCATTCAGTTATACCCATGCCACGGAAGTTTCCTTCTCCCTCCATTCACACCTCCTTCTTGAATTGAGCCTGCACGCTGCAAGGCATGTTCACCCTCCTGGACTAGTAGCTTTAATCTTGCCATTGTTTCCTCTCCCATGCCAGGATTCCTCCCTGTGCAGTTCTCTCTCTGTCCGACCTCTGCTGTTAAATTGAGTTGTTGGCTCTTCCTGAAGCTCCAGGGAACCGTGCTGTCAGCAGCCTCTGCACACAGGGCACAGGGAGTTAGGGTGGATCACACCGCTCCCCATCGGGCGGAATGTGTATTTAAATTTTCCTCCTCATAGGTGAATGCAGTCCACAAGCCCACTGAAATGGTCCACGTGGAATGTGCCCGACGCACGGGACTCAGCAGAGTCCACATCCCCTCTCCACTTCTGCGATCCTGTCCGGGACAGAAGGTGTCCCTTGATGAGCAGGACCGGCCAGTTGCTCTTGCCGGGACCTTCACCCAGAGGTACGCCGTAGAGCATTCCTTCAAATGACCGTCTCAGATCATACCTCTACTCCTATGAAGAGAATCATGATGCAGTTATTCTACATGCATCGGGCACTGTGCTGTAGTCCGAGATCCCAATACACGCACCACAATCGGAATAGGACTCAACACTCATGTCTCAAGAAGGTCCACAGCCCTTCTAGGAGAATTTTTTTTTCCCCTTTGCCATAGGGAAATCCATGTTGTCTTTTCTGTATGGCCAGAGCGTTTCAGTCCGTAGTTTGTGTGCACCTACCTATCTGCAAGTCTCCTTAGGGTAAAGTTTCCAAAGATCAGGTCACCCTGTCTTCCCATGGTGTGCTTTCCCTGAAGTGTGCTGAGAGAGCAGAGAGGGATCAAACGGGAGTGCAGGAGTCTGACACCCTGATCACGGAGGTCCTGTAGAAAGAGATATGTCAGGGGTCTGAGTCTCTACTCAGTCCAACTTCACCTTGGCCTTCTAGCCTTCGTTTAGTTCATCCTTGGCCACACCGAAACCTTCCTTTCTCCATGCACTTCCATATCCTTCTTCCGTTGATACTGCACTCTTCCCCACAGCTTCACCCTCAGGCCTCTGTAGCTTCTTCTTTCCACTTTTTTTTCTCCTGGGCTGCCAGGATTCCCCTCTGGACTTCTAGCACTTCTGTCATTGGGTGTTCGCTTTGGGAGCGTTGGCCTTGAGGGGTGTTTCTCATCAAACCACCCTTGTTAGCTTGATAGTCTAGAAACATGAGTATTGTGTGAAACGTATGCATTAAAGTTTGCATAATCCTGCCTTGAGCTTCGGGAACTGCGAAGCGACATGCCTGGAGGCAGCTTAAGTGTGTGGGTTTCTTGATGTTTCCCTGGTATCCTCAACTTATATTTCTGTGGTTGAAACGTACACTTTCTCTGCCTACATTGACTTACTTCCTGGGCTCTCACATCAAATGTCACACACCAGGAAAGACCTCTCTAAGTCTCCAGATGTAGTTTGGACAATATCAGACTTGGTAACAGGAACCCTTCTGTGCCTTCCCCACCTGTGTTGGACTGTGCTAATCACAAGAATTATTCAGGTGTTTATGTTCACTGACACGAGGGATTTTAGGAGGCACCACAAATTCTTCATGCAGAACTCTGGCACAGCCGTCATTGTCCATTGCATTAAGAGATCTTTGATTTCTATGCAGTCATTGATGTGTTGAAGACTCCTTTTTCTCCGTATACATTGAATGCCTGCTTTTTGCCACATGTTCCCAGTGGGTATACTCCAGTTCCTTTCCTGAGTCTTCATCTGGGGCATGGCTTTGGCCTTCTGGAAGCTCCTGGCTAGCCATGCTGTCAGCAGCCTCTGCACACAGGCACAGTGAGTTAGGATGGATCACACCACTCACCATTGGGTGAATTATATTTAATTTTTTCTGCACGTAGTCAAAGACAGTCCACAATCCAACAAAATGGTTCACTTGGATGTGTCTGATGCATGGGACTCAACAGAGTCTACATCCACACTCAACTTCCGTGATTCTGTCCAGGATCAAAAGGTGTCCCTAGATGAGCAGTACCAGTCAGTTGCTCTGCCAGGAGCTTCACCCAAAGGTATGCCATAAAGCATTCCTTCCAATGACCCATCTCAGGTCACACCTCTATTCCTATGAAGCAAATCATGACAGCTATTCTGCATGCAGTGGGCACATATGGCATAGGCAGAATCCCAACACTCACCCTGAATTAGGCTAAGAATCTACTCTTATGTGTGTTGAAGGCATAAATCCTTTTTTGGAGAACAGTTTTCCTCTTTCTAGGCAAACAGTTGCTGCCCTTTCTGCTTACCAAGAACACTTAAAGGCATTTTTTTTGTTTCCACCTGTCTATCTGTGTGTCATTTTTGGGTAAGGTTTCTGAAGTTCAAGTTTCTCCTGTCATCCCCATTGTGATTTTTCACTAGCAATATCATTACAATGCCTGACTCATATGCATTTAATATTGTGGTTCTTAACTACAGCAATATGTTATTGGGATGAATCTATTCTCAGTCCAATTTGACCTTGGCCTTCTAAGCTTCATTCATTCAAATTGGCCCAACTTTAATATCTGTTTGTGCTTCTCTTTCACACCTATTTCTAGAGTTGTTCCTCCACATATGTTCACCTTCAGTGGCTTTGTAGCCTTGTTTCTTTCTATTAGTTTCCCTCCATGTCAGAATTCCCCTCTTGAAATTTCTTTTTGAGACATTTACCATTAACTCTAGTAGTGTTTGGATCTCAATTGGAATTTCTAATTAAATTATTGTTGTTATGGTTGATAGTCTAGAAACATAAGTGTTAAACTTATGTGAAAATTTAATTTTTAGTAATCCTCATATGAGCCTTGAGTACTGGGTACTGACATTTTTCCAGAGACTTTTAGAGTGGGATTCTCTACCTTTTGTTTTATCCTCACTTCATCTTTCTGTGGTAAAAACATATTTTATTGACAACATTGACTCTTACATCAAATAACATACATCACAAAAGGCCTAAGTCTCTAGTTGTAGTTTAGAAATTAGTTATCTGTCTTCATTCACACCCCTCATTGAATCATGTTCATACACTTTTCAAGTTGAAGAGCATATCTTTGAGTTAGGTCCAGATATTCTTTTCAAATTCTGTTTTCTTGCCTTCAGAATAGTATTTCCTTTTTCAACAAACTGGTGATATTGAAGAAATATGATAGGAAGTTCCCTTATTATTATATGTAATTTTTTAAGATATTCTCCTAGGAAAGAACTACCATTCTTGGCCTAAAGATTTATTATGAAATATCTCATGGCATATACCTGGAAGTATTATATTTATGGACATGTGTACTATTTTCTTTAAAAAAACAAATTTTGCTCACTGTATGTAGAAATAATGATGTTTCTAAGACAGATCCAGCCCTGCACATTTATACAGTTTTTTTAACCTCAGTTAGACATCAGTATGGTGTTATATGTGGGGTTTTTGCTTGCTCAAGCAGTGGAGTTTTCCTGTGTCTTATCCTTCGTTGGTGACTAGCCTTTGTTCTTTCCCAGAGTCAGACCTCCTGTTTCTCCAGGAAGACCTGCACAAAAATGTGGAGGAACGTGACATGATTGATGACAGCGCAGCATGTGATGTGTTTATTTTAGCCCATGAGTTCGTCTCAGAAGATGAAGTGTTGGCACTCCGGGAAGACCTGCCAGAAAATGTGGATGACCTGGGCATAGATGCTGATAGCTCAGTGTCTGATGTATTTTTTTTAGCACTGGAGTTTATCTCAGAAAATGAATCGTGTATACCACTGGGGAGATTTGACAAGTATGCTGCAAGTAAGGACATATTTGAGAGAGAAATGGCTGCCAGGAGTTTAATGGATACATTGAGGGCAGTATCTGCCAGTGAAAGTGCTTGTATTTCTGTTTTGGAAAGAATTAGTAGTTTAGCTGAGGATCCAGAACCAATTGTGAGAGCAGAGCTAATGGAACAGGTGCCTCACATTGCATTATTTTTTCAAGAAAACTGGCCTTCCGTATCCTATGCTTTTTCAAATTTCTTACTACCTATTGTGACTAGATATCTCACAGATGAGAATCATGAGGTATGGAAAATAAGTCAAGAATCTTTGCTGGCTCTGCTGAAGCAGGAACTGATTGAGGCATTTGACTTGAAGACACAAGTATGCCCTGTGCTCCTAGAGCTGACTGCCCCAGACAGGGATGAATATATAAAAGCAAAAACTTTGGCTACAATGTGCAAAGTGGCTCCTATGGTTGGCAAGGATATTACAGAATGCCTCATCCTCCCTAGGTTTTGTGATATGTGCTATGATTGGAGAAATCTTCATATTCGAAAGATCTGTGTTAACTATTTTAGTGATATTTGCAGTGTAGTGGGTCAGCAAGTTACTGAGGAAATGTTGATTCCATGTTTTGTTCAGTTATGTTCTGATAAGGAATGGAGAATCAGAAAGGCTTGTGTTAAGTGCTTTGTGAAAGTTTCATATGCAACCAGTCTTGAAATCCGATGGTCCAAACTATCAGCCCTATTTATCAACTTGATCAGTGATTGCTCATTGTCAGTTTGCCAAAAAGCATTTAAGTCTCTGGGACTTTTCATATGTTCTTTTGCTAATCCATCTTGTTCAGGTCACCATTTTAAAGCAGAAATCAAAAGTTCACAAGACTTGCCAGAAGATAAAAATAGGATCAGAGATCAAAAAGTCTCTGAGGAGGTAAGGAGGTCTGAAGTGCAAGATGTTGTACCCCAGGCTTTATTAGATCAGTACTTCACAATGACTGATCCCTATCTCATAAAAACCATTGATACCAAAATTGTTAAGCATTGTGCATACAGTTTCCCAGGTGTTGCTCTGACTCTGGGTCAGAAATATTGGCACTGTCTCAAAGAATTGTATGAGTCTCTGGTGTCAGATGAAGATTGGGAGGTTCGAAGAACTTTGATTCTCCATCCATGAACTTGCACTTATCCTTGGAGAACAGTTGACATCTACAGACCTGGTTCCAATTTTTAATGGATTTTTAAACAACATTGATCAGGTCAGGTTAGGTATTCTTTTACACTTACATGATTTTCTGAAGAGTCTTCCTATTGACAAAAGAAGAGAATATCTTTATCGACTTCAGGAGTTTTTAGTGACAGATAACAATATAAATTGGAGAACTCGAAATGATCTGTCTGAGCAACTGATTTTACTTCTAGAATTATATAGTCCCAGAGATGTTTATGACTATTTACGTCCCATTGCCATGAATCTCTGTAGAGACAAAGTGTCTTCTGTTCGTTGGGTTTCCTACAAGCTGGTCAGCAAGATGCTGAAGAAGTTGCACATGGAGACACCCGAGACCTTTGGAGTAAGTCTCATCAATGAGCTGGTGGAGGATTTTTGCAAGTGCACCAAGTGGTCTGGTCGGCAATCCTTTGTCTACATCTGTGACATTATCATTGAAAATGATTGCCTCCCAATGGACAGGTTTTCTACCCATCTAATGCCACAACTGCTGACCTTGGTGAATGACAGAGTTCCAACTATTAGAATGGCACTTGCAAAAACATTAACACAAACTCTCCTAGAAAAAGAATGTTTCTTAGCCTCTACCCGTTATCATCAAGATGCTGTAGAGCTTACCATCATGACACTTCAGATGGACCAAGACCACACTGTCAAGTATTTTGCAAGCAAACATCCTGCCAGTACCAAAATCGCTGAAGATGCCATGAGCGTACCTTCCTTGACCTACTAGAACCTCAATGTCCTTCATTTTCCATGACAGCCAAGTTTCAACCTCCCCTTAAGTGTCTGGGACAGCTGTGGGTGGGAAGTAGTGACCTTTCCCTAACTCCTTGCAGGTGCCAGTTGCCTACACCAGTACAATTTCAAGAGTCAAGAGAAACTACAAGAGTCTTTATTCATGTTGTTAGACTTGTCATGGTACAAATTTTCCTATCTAAGTACAATTTATTAATAAAACAATTGGAGAGATGGATTATTTTCTAGATGTTTATTAATGTAATTTGTGAGGAAATACAATTTGTGACCTGTGTTAATGATTTAGTATAAATGGAGAAACTAGATAAAAATATTTCTTTTAAAAAATAGAATTCAGCATTATTACCATACCTCCAAGAGTGATACTAGAAATAAAAAGGCTTTGAAAAACACATATCTTAGGAAAAGCTCTACACATCAATTACCCAGTATTTTAAAAAGTAGAAAATCTCAACTAATGCCAGTTTGCATATATAAAATCCAAGCAGAAACTAAAAGGTCCTGAATAGTCTCAGGTGGGAATATAGCAAAAGTCATAATTTTAAGAATCATACAATGAACTAACAGAGCTATGCAAGCAAGGCAATACATTTAGTTTATTTCTTGTTATTTTTTAAGCCCTTGTTCTTGTACACCTGTTTTCTGCAAAGCCTCCCCAGTGAATGCTCATGATGTTCACTCAAGTACATGGTATTTTCTGATCTAGAAGCTTCAGAACAACCATGGTCACACCAGTGTGTACACACAGTCATACTAAATTATGACTTCTCACCTTAGTGAGCATTAGCCTGAATTTATACTTAAATTTTTCTTTCCACATAGGGAGGATGATAATCCCCAAAGAAATGAAATGAGCCACCTTAGATATACTGTGTTCCTGTCAGAAGAAGCAGGAGGCTCAAGTGTCCCCTGACAAGCAAGACCTATTCATCATGAAGCCAGGACATTTAGTCAAAGGGAAACAGGAACAGTGTATCCTGTCCCCAATTCTTGAGTTCCTTCACTAAATTCACACCTGTTTTCTGACAAGAAACTCATGACAGAGCTAGTCTCCATGCTGTCGGAAAGGCTAAAGGCAAGATCTCAATATTCATCCAGAATCAGGTTTAGAGTAAACTCTAAAATCTGAAAAAGACCTGACTTCCTTGTAGGAGGACATTTTTTCATTCCTCCAAGGAGATAGTTGCTTTCTTCTATGTATGCCCAGAGCACTTTAGACATATACTTATATATGAACAGATCTCTGTGTATCATTACAGTGAGGTTTCTTAAAGTCTGGGATTCCATGTCTTTCCCATCACCACCATTTTTTTTCATTGTGCTCGGTGTGTGTGTGTCTATATTGTGGCATTTACAAAAGTTCTTACAATGCATCAAATACATCATACTTGGATTCACTTCTTTTTCATCAGTTCTTTCTCTGTCCCATGGTAAGCTTACTTTCTATGTCTGCTTCAGACCTAGGTCTTGACTAGACCTGGAGTGAAATATTCACAGTTGGAGTCTTTTTAATCTTCCTTCTTGCCTTTTTCTCCTGCCATTCTAGAATTTTCCCACTGATATTTCTTTCTATAATATGTGTGCCATTACCTTTGGATATAATTTGGCTCAAAGACTTTCTTATTTTGTTATTACTGCCAGTAATAATAAAACTTATATTTATGTAACAAAGTTTATATTTTTATATTTGATTATTCATATCTTATTCAAGTGGGAGGAAATTGCTATGTGAATATTTTTAGGACTATTTAAGACTAGAGGGTTTCTGCAGTTATCTTGCATAAACAACCTATACTTTTTTAGTCACTGAGACAATATAAACTCTCACATCAAATAACTTACATAAGGAAAACAAAACTGCTAATTCTAAAAGTATTTTTGAGAAAGAAATGCATTTACTTGGGTTTCAGTCTTTCCTCATAGAATAGCTGCATATGTAGTTTTTTATCAAGCATTTTTAAGATATTTTTTTTCCTCTTTGGGGTGGGGAACTGGGTTTGAGCCAAGGCAGTGCTGCTACTTGGATGCTCTACAGCTTGAGCCACACACCAACTTTTTCCTTTATTTCTCAAATAGGGTCTCTTGTTTTCTCTGAGGTCAGACTCAGTCCATGATCCTTCACATCCTTCCCTTTAGCTGGGATCTCAGGTGCACATCACCCCACCCTGCATTTTGTTTTTGAGGCTGCCCTCAAACCATGATCATCCTAATGTCCACCTCACGTGGTGGGATAACAGGCATGAAACAGCATATCTGAAAAAGTTTCTCATATCAAAGTAAATAAATGGATGGGTTTTCATAATTTTACAAATAAAAATCAGAGAAACCCAAAGTAATACAACATTTCAACTTCTGTATTTGCATGAATAGTCCTCAAACACTTGCATATATTGACATAGAGGAACATCCCTGAGGGTTTAAGAAGGTGTATCCTTCATTCTCACCATTTTCTTATTGCGGTGTGAATGCCAGCCAGAAAGCTGGCATTGCTATAGGACTGCATATCTTCTGGAGGCTGCTAACTCGAAGGATGAGATAGAGTGTACTTTGTGGGGAGAATACTGATGTCTGTCTTTTACATCTGAGTGAGGGATAAGCCTGTTTTTATCAAAAGTGCTATGAACTATGCCTTGTGCTGTGGAGTGCATTTATCCAATGAGGGATAAGTAGCAAGCTTATGTTAAACTAATGAAATAAGCTCAAAATGTTTTGGTTAACTTGTCCAACAAAGTATCAGAGCCTGGAACCCACACTGACATCCCTTATCCCACCTCACAAGCATTATATGTATATATATATATAAGTTAGCAAACAAAATATGCCTATAAGAAGAAAAATGTGGAATGGAAATTGATAGCTCTTTGAAGTAATACTTCTTGTTAACATCAAATTTATTATAATTTTTCTACTTATTTTACAATTATGTCAAAACTATATACATATATAATTCTATATGTTCATTACACTTAGTTATAATTACCCTTGCTAATTCTAATGTAACAGAAATGTGCACATACAGTTGAAACCAGATTTTGGACAGTCATAGAACAATGAAATATTCATGCTTACAAAAGTGAAGATATCTCTTCTATGAGCATAAAAATAGCCTCAAGGATTTTGGTAAAATGGAGATTTGGCACAGTGGAGATTCAAGTCCTCTCAGAAGGTGTGTAGCTAGAGCTTCAGTAAGACAGTGCTGCCTAAAAAGCTGTCATTACTGAACACACTGTTGGGTAAACCCTTGACAATGAAGGGACTAGCATTCCTCTTCAATTCTTTATGCTGACACCTGTTTACTGGGAGTGTCAGAGTTAGTTCAAGTGGTTCAGCAACTTGGCTTTATGTGGGGCCACTTATCAATCCCTCACTCCTTCCACAGACAACTTTAATCAAGAAACAAATTTCAAAGTATATCTAATGCTTTATTGGGAAAGGCTGTCTAATCATGGGATCAGGGTTCCCAGAATACAGGCAAAAGTTTCATTTCTGGCTCTCCTGTTCACTTGTGCAAGGTTCTTCATTTTCCAAAGCCTCTGTAACAGACATTATAAGCTGAAGGAAAGTAAAAGATTCATCTCATAAGGTTATTTTGAGGATTAACTTCAGTAAAGCAAGAGATGTTCTGTGAGGCATCTGGCATGCAATAAACCCTTAGTCAGCCTGGTACAAATGACAAAGTTCTCTCCTTTGACCTTTTCCATACCTCAGTATTATGATCCCTTCAATCTTACTATATTTCCTCATGTGTTTGAAGCATTCTCTCTTTCTCTCTCTCTCTCTCTCTCTCTCTCTCTCTCTCTCTCTCTCTCTCTCTCTCTCTCTCTCTCATCTCTCTCCCTCACTCAAATCTATCTCCCTTTCCCTAACTAAAGAGAAGCTCTTCATTCAAGCACAAACAACTCCTTTGCACAAACAACTCCTTTGCCTCAAACTCAGCTTTGCAGCTTTTCATGATAATATTCTTTATGTTTGTTGTACTTTAGCAACATCTACTGAGTAACATGTCTTAATCTATTTGTAGCCACTGACTGTTCCTCCTTGACAACTTTACATTTTGCCTCTGTCAAACATTTTTCCAAACAAAAAATCTGAACTCAACCTGTTTATATTTTTACGTATGTAAAATATATATTTAAAAAGATATATAAGTTCAGTGATACAAAAAGAGCACAAGACTCTTAGACTCATTCACCTGTGTATAAAAAAATGATTTACTTCTTTGGAAGCCATCTTTGGACTAATAATTATGCTCAAAATTATTAATATTGTTGCAGGAGGGCTCAGATGGACAGAGAGGGCACCAAAGCAAGTTTATTTAGCAAGCCGGCAGCAACTCAACAGACTTGAGTCCAAAGGTTGAACCCCAAGAACAAGGGGACTCTAACCTCTGGGGTGAGATGACCTATCTCTGGTCTCCAGCTAACAAGCCCCAACTCCAGTTTTGTTGTACTGTAGCACTCATTAACTCTCATTATCATTTATTATCACCCTTCCCCCTCCCTACCTTTCTGCCACATTTCCTCCCTTTGATACTCAGACTCACTTTTGGGTCAAAAAGCATCATTTGGATCTAAGGGTTTGTATTTCCATAGCACCATTACATGAGCAACTGTCTTTCTACAGTGGTTTCCATAACAGTCCTGAAGGACTGCAGTACCAGGGGCTTTAGGCAGGGTAGTATCAGGCATGCATCTAAGACAAGAAACACTGTCCCTATTAAGGTCTTGACCCCACCTAGGTTTCAACATCAGCCCCCAAATAGGTCACTGGGACTCCATCCCTTCCAGGTCTGCACAGGGACATGGGCAAGCTTTTTCATCTTCTTTCATCTTCTCAGTAATCTCCTTAATTACCTTTTCCTCATCATTAATCTGTAAACAGCAGTTACTAAGATTGAGATTATTTCAGACTATTGCAAATTTAGGGAAGTTATCCATCATGTGAGGTTGGAGCTTCATGTGATTGGGAATCCCC